TTGTGCCCATATGAGGCAATTGATATTCAATAAAGACTCATTGTAGTTTTTTGTCTCAGTCTTAAATAATCCTGTTCAACTTAATTTGTCTTAATTTCAAAGTGTGTTTTTTCAGAGTACACTCCCTGTATGACCAAGCCCTAATTCTCATCCAGAAATGAGAAATACAAAAAGACTGGGTATGCCATACAGCCACACCTGAATGAATCCAAGGAAAATTAATCTAGCTGTATGTTATAAGGTACCTGACATTTGAACAGAAAACTGTGTGTCAGTGCTGCACACTCTGTAGAAATGAACATTGTGTTGATATCCATTTTGCTTCAGAAACGATAATTCATCTTTCGCTCTCACAAAACATGATAATTGACTGATTTATGCTTTGTCATGATTCCCATTATAGTCTAATTCCATATAATAAGTGAATAAATAAAACTGATTAATCAAATGCTGGGTTAAAAAAGTATCCCAGTGGGTATTATAAATCTACAGTTTATTACACTGCATGGCTGTCTTATTCCGAGTCGGTTGTTTTATTCTATGTTTGAACTTTTTTTGGCAATAGAGAAATTTGTGCAAACATTAACAAAACCAGTAAGCAAATCCCAAGGGCCACAAGTTCATGTCTTGCGAGGAGGGCACAGAGGCTTGACATCAGAAGCTCAAAACCAGGCACTGCTCACACACTGGCTGTAGGGATTTTACTGATTTCTGATGGCCATGAGATTTTGTCAGACACACCAATATGAATCTTGCAGTGAAATTTGATGAATTAGACAGGGTTTAGTGATTCTCACTGGAGCAGGATCTGACTGCATCACTTCAAAGCCATTCAGTCAAGTTTCCTGTGTCAATACTGTTCTGCATTCATTTCCTTCATGTGAAACAGTGATTTAAAGACTTCCAGGGCTCACCTATTCCTCTGCAGGGCTTTGTCTGCTCATGCCATTCCTTACAGTAATGAGGACTGGTTACATACTATGTCCTGGTGCACTGAGAAAAAATGAAGCCTTGGTCCAGAGAGCGATGCTCTGAGTGGAGTTAGCAGAGCCTGACATTTCCTGCCGAGGTCCGAAAAGGGGGGGAGACCGTGGCACAGCACGAGTCCGGGACACGACAACGGGATGCAGGTAGAATGCTTTATTCAGGAGTGCACCTGGTCTTTCATCAGCTCGGGAGGGGAAAGGGCCAGAACATAGGGCGGAGCATGAGACAGACAAGTGGGGGGACAAACCAAGATAGGGAAAGGGCAAAAGAGGGAGGAACGTGGGAGGAACCGGGGGAGAAGGGGTGAATGGGCGAATGGAGGCTGTCCTCTCTCTGCAGCTTCTCCAGCCGATTGGCAGAGAAACAGAGGAGCAGGGAGGTGGACAGGCCGGGATATGCCCGGAAGATACAAATTCTGGGGGAACATACAATGTGTGTATACATAATAACTATAAAGTCTGCATCATAAAGTCCGTTCAATTGCTGTACATCTTTTTCCATTTCTGAAATTTTCCCCATTCTTATTCCTGGTCCTTCACAATTTCCAGTGCATGGAAAGACAGGAGCCATCAAGTTGCTCCCTATGTGTATCTTTCTAATATTTACCTAAATGGACTGTTTAACTTCAGTCATATTTAATAGGACAACATCTGCAAGTGTATTTCTGCTTAAATGGTCAAAAATGGCTGATGATTTTATGCATCTCAACTTCTTAGCGTTTATGAAATAAAAACCCTCTATTTAAGAAAATGAAAATGGTTGATTTTTTTTTTTTTTTTTGTTAATTTGGTCGGAATTCAGCACAAACCCTTGCACCTGTAAATGCAGAAAAGAGATAAAAAGTTAATGTTCAGCTCATGGCTGTACACACTGTGGATCTCTATGTCTGACTGCAACTTTAGGAACTCCAAGGGCACAACAGGACAAAAATTGACAACTATCACAAACAACTGCAATGCAGCTGATCTGACCACTAACAGAGGGATGTAGTCCCTCTCCCCAAAATCAATGTTGCCTGGAATTTATTATAGTATTGCAGGCATTAATTTCCCCCTGATTTATATGGAAAACCAATAAAACTATAAAAGAATGTTCTTTAAGACCAAATGGCTGAAAATGAAATTACAGGAAACGAAAAAGAAAGGAACACTGAAGTTTCATTAGAGAGAATATATTTTTTCTGTATTCTGAACTTAGGTTGTCCTAGTTAGGACAGCTGAGATCAGTTCATCATGGTGGGTGTAACCCAAAACTGTATTCTATAGCCTTCCATGTCATTTCCCAGAAACTAGACTATTGTTGTCAATAGACTATTCGCACCCTCTGCCCATAGAGCCTGACTCCTCAGGCTATAAACTAGGTGTTAAGAGGCCTGTGAGATAGAAGGATGTTTCTGTCCTCACACCCTTTGTGAACTCCCCGCCCTGAGGAGAATACCAAGCATTCCTGCCTGAACTGGAGGATATATAATCTTGGAGTTTTGGAACATTTTTCAACCCACTCGTGGGATCCAGAGGACGGCTGCATCTCATCGCTCTCAACCAGACTTAGACCACCACTGGACTGCGATCACCAGTTCTGGCCAGACTGCAGCAGCTCTCCCACCAGCAGGTTCTTCCCCTCTTCCTTTACTTTGGACTCAAACAGGGCCCAAGGAACACCACTTTGTTCAGGTCCCAGGGTACTGGGTTATACATTTGGGTTTTTGTGGGTTGAGACCAATTGTTTGTTTGTATTATTGTACTTACTGTATTATTTTAATAAATTGTTATTCTGACTTATAATCTCTCCTTTGGGTTGGGTTCATTCCCCCTGCTGGTTAACTTTTAAACCAGCACATTTTGGCGCCCAAACGTCGGGCAGAGAGAGAAGTCAGAATCACAATTTCATTTGAAGCATTTGTCTATTTGAATATAGAAACTCCCTGATCACCATGTTGTTTGATGCACTCACATGGATGTTGTATTTGAACCTGTTCATATTTCCACAGATGGGGTATTATTTGCCTGTTTTGATGCTCTCTTTAAGACCAGGGAGAGGGATCCAAATTGCTTTATTAGTATATTATGTTTATGTCATTCTAACATCAGAAGCAATGAGTTTCATTGTAAATGTGTATTCAGTCCTGTTTGCCTGTCCTGGTTTGGGTTGCTACCTCTGGGGCCTCATTAAAAATCGTACCCAGCTTTTTGGGGGAACAGGGGTGGATGTTTCCAGCCTCCCACCTCCTTCTTCCCCTTCAGACCTGCTACAACAGTTTTTGAAAATATTGAGTTCCCTTTTGATGTTAAGGACAGCATAATGTTATTGTTAGTGTTGCTCTGTCTGCTCTGTACTGTGTACACCATGTTTGGGGTCAGAAAAGTGCCTTTTAGGGAGGTTGGTTGGACACCTGCCCTGGGAGCAGATAATGCTGAGTGGCATGGGAAGTGGGAGGACATCAGCCAGTATTTGGAAAAGTTTTCTCCTCCAATGATCTGGAAATTCACCCCTGAACAACTGCAGGATCCTGTTAGCATGATAAGACTGGTGAAGGAAAAATGCTCTGGCAGCTCCAGAGATGGCCAGCTCACAGCAACCTGCTGGGCCCTGGCCACTGCCTACCGGGCACTGCTTGACATGATACAGCACTGTCAGGGCGAGGAGAGAAGGACCAAATCCGCAGACACCACGTCCACCCAAACCACAGCTGAGTCAGAGGGAGAAAGAAATGAACCAACCAGCACCGTGTCCACACAAACCATCGAGGAGCCAGAAGAACAAGCAAAACCAATAGCAGTCGCCCCTGTCCAGAAAAGGAAATCAAAGACTAAATCAGTTCGCATAGCAAATGATGACGAAGAGGCGGGACCTTCACATCCACCGGAGGAGACAGAGCCAGAAATAATCACTCGGTCCCTATCCCTGGGTGAGCTATGTGAGCTCCGGAGAGAGTTCACACGACAGGCGAACGAGTCCATTCTGACCTGGCTGCTCCGAATCTGGGATGCCGCAGCTAACGATACGATCCTAGATGGGAGTGAAGCCAGACAGCTGGGATCCCTGTCTCGAGATGTAGTCATTGATCAGGGGATTGGAAGGAGGCAGGAAACTCTCAGCCTCTGGCGGCGACTGTTGTCCAGTGTGAGGGAGAGATACCTTTGTAAGGAGGACCTCCACGTACAGCAAGGACAGTGGAACACGATGGAACAAGGTATCCGGTGCTTAAGGGAGTTAGCTGTACTGGAGATAATCTTTTCAGAGGATGAAAGATTCCCTAAGAGTCCAGATGGCGTGCAGTGCACCTCCCAAATGTGGTTAAAGTTTGCACGACTCGGGCCAGAAATGTATTCCCGCTACTTAGCAACGCTGCAATGGAGGGAGGGAGAGGACAAGGTGGGAGCATTGGTTAGCAAACTCAGAATTTATGAAGACACTGTCACCGCCCCATTACGAGCCCACGTCTCATCTGTGGAAACCAAACTGGCTGAACACGTCCGAAGCCTGGAAGAGAAAATTGAAGAGGGACACCAGAAGCTAAGAGAAGAGATTAAGGAAGGGATTTTCCATATCTCGCCAGGACAAACAAGAGTCTCTGCTATCAGGAGCCAGCGCCCCCCAGCTAAGGAGAGAAGGTACACTCCACGTAGCGATCTATGGTTTTACCTTCGTGAGCATGGAGAAGATATGAGGAAGTGGGATGGGAAACCCACCTCTTCCTTAGCAGCCCGGGTACGTGAACTGAAAAGAGGAACAAATACCATAAAGAACTCTTCAAGGGTAAACGTTGCTCCAGTCTCTCGTGGGCAAGACTCCAGACGGTACAGGAATGATGATACGTCTGATCCTCTTGAAGGGACCTCCAGGTCATACCCACAAGAAGAGCACAATGAGTACCATGACCAGGACTAGGGGTGCCCTGCCTCTAGCCAGGTAGAGGAGAGGGACAATCGAGTCTATTGAACTGTGTGGATTCGGTGGCCTGGCACATCAGAGCCACAAAGATATAAGGCTTTAGTGGACACTGGCGCACAATGTACATTAATGCCATCAAGATACGTAGGGGCAGAATCCATCTCCATTTCTGGGGTGACAGGGGGATCCCAACAGCTGACTGTACTGGAAGCTGAAGTGAGCCTGACTGGGAAGGAATGGCACAGACACCCCATTGTGACTGGTCCAGAGGCCCCGTGTATCCTTGGCATAGATTACCTGAGGAGTGGGTATTTCAAAGACCCAAAAGGACTTCGTTGGGCTTTTGGCATAGCTGCTGTGGAGACGGAGGAAATTAGACAGTTGAACACCTTGCCTGGTCTCTCAGAGGACCCCTCTGCTGTGGGACTGCTGAAGGTTGAAGAACAATTGGTACCGATAGCCACAGCAACAGTGCACCGTCGGCAATACCGCACCGACCGAGACTCTGTGACCCCTATACAAAAGATGATCCGTGAACTGGAGACCCAGGGGGTGGTCAGCAAGACTCGCTCACCCTTTAATAGCCCTATATGGCCAGTGCGTAAGTCCAGCGGAGAGTGGAGGCTGACGGTGGATTACCGTGGACTCAATGAAGTCACACCACCCCTGAGTGCTGCTGTGCCGGACATGCTGGAGCTCCAGTACGAGCTGGAGTCCAAGGAAGCCAAGTGGTATGCCACCATTGACATAGCCAATGCCTTTTTCTCCATTCCTTTGGCAGCGGAGTGCAGGCCACAATTTGCTTTCACTTGGAGAGGTGTGCAGTACACCTGGAATCGACTGCCTCAGGGGTGGAAACACAGTCCCAGCATTTGCCATGGACTGATCCAGACTGCACTGGAAAAGGGTGAGGCTCCAGAGCACCTACAGTACATTGATGACATCATTGTATGGGGGAACACAGCGGGCGAAGTCTTCGAGAAAGGAGAGAAGATAATCCAGATTTTCCTAAGAGCCGGTTTTGCCATTAAACGGAGTAAGGTCAAGGGACCTGCTCAGGAAATTCAGTTCCTAGGAGTGAAGTGGCAAGATGGACGCCGCCTAATTCCAATGGAGGTGATTAACAAAATAGCAGCCATGTCCCCACCAACCAGCAAGAAGGAAACACAGGCTTTCCTAGGCGCTGTGGGCTTTTGGAGGATGCATATCCCCGAGTATAGTCAGATTGTAAGCCCTCTCTACCTTGTGACACGGAAGAAAAATGATTTCCAGTGGGGCCCCGAACAACAACAAGCCTTTGAACAAATTAAACAGGAGATTGCCCATGCAGTAGCCCTTGGGCCAGTAAGGACAGGACAGGACGTGAAGAACGTGCTCTACACCGCAGCCGGGGAGAATGGCCCTTCTTGGAGCCTCTGGCAGAAAGTGCCTGGGGAGACCCGAGGACGACCGCTGGGATTCTGGAGTCGGGGATACAAAGATCTGAAGCCAGCTATACACCAACTGAGAAAGAGATCCTGGCTGCCTATGAAGGAGTTCGAGCTGCCTCAGAAGTAATCGGCACCGAAGCGCAGCTCCTCCTGGCACCCCGACTACCAGTGCTGGGCTGGATGTTCAAGGGAAGAGTTCCTTCCACATCATGCCACCGATGCCACGTGGAGTAAGTGGATCGCTCTGATCACGCAGCGAACCCGGATAGGGAATCCTAATCGCCCTGGGATTCTGGAAATTATCACCAATTGGCCCGAAGGTGAGAGTTTCAGACTATCCTCTGAAGAAGAGGAGGAGAAGGTGACACGGGCTGAGGAGGCCCCACCATATGACAAGCTACCCGCAGATGAAAGGCGATATGTGCTCTTCACGGATGGCTCCTGCCGCATTGTAGGGACAAACCGAAAATGGAAGGCAGCTGTATGGAGTCCCACACGGCGAGTTGCAGAAGCGACCGAAGGACAAGGTGGGTCAAGTCAGCTTGCAGAGCTTAAAGCCGTTCAGTTGGCTTTGGATATAGCTGAACGAGAGAAGTGGCCAAGACTCTATCTCTACACTGACTCATGGATGGTGGCCAATGCTCTGTGGGGAGGGCTGGAGCGATGGAAAAAGGCCAACTGGCAGCGCCAAGGGAAACCCATCTGGGCGGCGGAGATGTGGCAGGACATCGCTGGCCGGGTAGAGAAGCTGAGTGTGAAGGTCCGTCACGTAGACGCTCATGTAGGCAAGAAACGGGCTAATGAGGAGCATCGTAACAACGAGCAGGCGGACCAAGCTGCCAGGATTAAAGTCTCTCAGGTAGATCTGGATTGGCAGCACAAAGGAGAATTATTTCTGGCTCGATGGGCCCATGACGCCTCCGGTCACCAGGGGAGAGATGCAACATACAGATGGGCTCGTGACCGAGGGGTGGACTTAACCAAGGACATTGTCTCACAGGTCATCCATGACTGTGAGACATGTGCTGCCATCAAGCAGGCCAAGCGGGTGAAGCCTCTATGGTATGGTGGACGGTGGTCAAAGTACAGGTATGGGGAAGCCTGGCAAGTTGACTACATCACACTCCCCAAAACCCGCCAAGGCAAGCACTACGTACTGACCATGGTAGAAGGAAGCACTGGATGGTTGGAGACATACCCCGTGCCTCATGCCACTGCCCGGAATACCATCCTGGGCCTTGAAAAACAAGTCCTGTGGCGACACGGCACCCCGGAGAGAATTGAGTCTGATAATGGGACCCATTTCAAGAATGGCCTCGTAGACACCTGGGCCAAAGAGCACGGCATTGAGTGGGTGTATCATATCCCCTACCATGCACCAGCTGCTGGAAAAGTTGAGCGGTGCAACGGACTGCTGAAAACCACTCTGAAGGCACTGTGTGGGGAGACTCTCAAACACTGGGAGCTGCATTTAGCAAAGGCCACCTGGTTGGTCAACACCCGAGGTTCCATCAATCGAGCTGGCCCTGCCCAATCAGAACTTTTGCATACTGTAGATGGAGATAAAGTCCCCGTGGTACATATGAGAGGAATGTTAGGGAAGACTGTTTGGATTAGTCCCACCTCAAGCAAAGGCAAACCCATCCGAGGGATTGTTTTTGCTCAGGGACCTGGTTCCACATGGTGGGTAATGCAAAAAGATGGGGAGACACGTTGTGTACCACAAGGGGACCTAATTTTGAGTGAGAATGGTCTGTAATGTTTCATTGTATATATATAGATAGATAGATAGATAGATAGATAGATAGATGTATATAGTTTTAAAGGGATATAGTTTTTAAAGGGGGTTAATTTGGGCATGACATGGATGGCATAGAATAAGGGGTGGATAATGTCCTAGTTAGGACAGCTGAGATCAGTTCATCATGGTGGGTGTAACCCAAAACTGTATTCTATAGCCTTCCATGTCATTTCCCAGAAACTAGACTATTGTTGTCAATAGACTATTGGCACCCTCTGCCCATAGAGCCTGACTCCTCAGGCTATAAACTAGGTGTTAAGAGGCCTGTGAGATAGGAGGATGTTTCTGTCCTCACACCCTTTGTGAACTCCCCGCCCTGAGGAGAATACCAAGCATTCCTGCCTGAACTGGAGGATATATAATCTTGGAGTTTTGGAACATTTTTCAACCCACTCGTGGGATCCAGAGGACGGCTGCATCTCATCGCTCTCAACCAGACTTAGACCACCACTGGACTGCGATCACCAGTTCTGCCCAGACTGCAGCAGCTCTCCCACCAGCAGGTTCTTCCCCTCTCCCTTTACTTTGGACTCAAACAGGGCCCAAGGAACACCACTTTGTTCAGGCCCCAGGGTACTGGGTTACACATTTGGGTTTTTGTGGGTTGAGACCAATTGTTTGTTTGTATTATTGTACTTACTGTATTATTTTAATAAATTGTTATTCTGACTTATAATCTCTCCTTTGAGTTGGGTTCATTCCCCCTGCTGGTTAACTTTTAAACCAGCACATAGGTGTAAATGTAGGAGAGTCTAAAGATGGCATCAGATGTGCCACTAAGTCACCAGCAGCAGAACCAGATCACACTGGAGCAGGTCCCAGCATTCTCTGCCCTTTCTTGAAAAGTGGGGTTGTTTCACCCCTGTGAGTTCACTACACATGCTCAACCTCCTCAACCAACAGCCTGTGGCAGCCGGATCATCCACATAGCATTTTTCCTCTGTTCTGACTGAATTAACCTATGCCTCCATCAAGAATAATTGTGCATAAATATTTAAAGGGCGGTTTCCATGACAACCTGAACGCATGACTTCAGATTTTGCCTTCTGCAAGCACATTTTGTCAGTAGAACTGTGTTACTGAAGTACCTCTTCGGGGAAGTGGAATAAACAGGCAAGTGTTTAGGGTGACACTGTAGTAGTGTCTGCACCCTTTTTAGACAGCTCTGAGCACGAGCCTGATCTGAGAACTGGATCTTCATCACTACCACGGTCTCAATGAACACATCAGGAAACTGATTTATAGTAAGAATGGTGTTTCACATGAAAATAAAGCATTGCCATTTATTTCATTGCTCTTTACAGAACTTGCTCTGGGTACTTTCTTGAGGGACTCCGAAATTGTACTTAATGAGGAAACTACCCCACATTGACATCAGCTTTCACAGGGGTTGGTTGGGGTAACTCAGTTTCTCAAGTGTCATTTTCTGAAGTAGAATAACCTGTAATTTTATTTTGTTGGTGGGGGAACAACTTGAACTGACAAGGGCACATTTCACCTCCTAAACCAATATATTCCTTTGGACACAGCTACCGTCTCTAGCTTAATGAAAGGAAACCAAAATGAGATAAACATGAGATGAGATCTTCATGAATACAAAAAGCATTTCATGAAGCATGAATCAATTATGTTGGCCAAGTCTTAAAATGTTTGGTTGTTGGTGTTTAAAATTGTGTTCCCCTCATCAATGGGGTTTTGGAGGAACTTCAGAATAACCAGAGGTTTTATGTTTCTCCTCACCAATTTAATACTGGCATTGATGAAATCAACAAGAGCCATACCTGACTTCGGTTGTCCCTCTCAGGATCCATCTCATAGATTTTCAGACATAAGGCATGTTTATCCACAGATCTCACAGTATGCAGACATTTTCATTTTGGTATATAGATGCAATTTCAGTTAGAAATTTTCTCTTCCAACTAGTTCATTTTAATCACAGGCATGCATATTTTTTTTCCTCTCTGGGCATTATTTTCCTTCCTTGCAGGTTCTAGAAATGCATAAAACAAAAATAAAGATGTAATCAGTGTGGCACTGTCTTTTTCCTTCAGCTTTTAGCTTGTGTAGCACATTATCTGCCCTACAATGTGGTGTAGTTTGCTCATCTGTTTAAAATGAAATCTTCTACAAGTCCTAATTTTTTGAAAGTTCCAGATTCATTTGCACACTGAAAATGCTATTTATTGCACGGAGGCACAGTATGTTAAAAAGCAGAGTGTCTCAGACATAAAGGCAACTCTCTGTTTACATTGCTATTTCAGCCCCCTTGTTCTCAAGTGCAGTGTAAATTCAGTGCTGACTGTGAACACTCCACATCTGAAAACCTAACATACATAAACTGTAACTAAATTTGTCTTAAGAAATACTTAAAATATATGTATTTTTTTATTCTTCCAGAAGAAAGTCATTTGGATCACCACAATAGCTTTTCTTTTTCAATTTGCCTATTTCTAGCAAGGCAATGGCTCAAGAATTGATCAGCTGCATTGCCTTCTCGCATGCACAGCCATTGCTGATCAGGGGGAAAGCTTATACACTGAAGGGGTTTTTTTTCCTGACCTTCTTGGGGGAAAATAAAAACAAATATCCATATTTACCATTTCAGAAATTCTTCTTTTAATGAACCCTGTGTCTGTACAACGCATAAGGTATTCGGCATGAAATGGCAAGCACAATTTTTAATGGCAATCTTTTGAAAACCATGGGTTTCCCATAGCTCTTTAACACGCAAATTTTTTTTTTCTGAGTGAGACAAGATTGCTCTCAGAAAGAGAGAACTTCAATCTATCCCCTGGCATTTTTATGGCTCACAGGGCTTGATCTGAACTGTCAAAATGGTTAGAGTTTTTCCAACAAGGTAAAAAGAAACACTGATCTGGGCTGAATGCTTGCAAGTACCCATGGAATAAATGCATCTTAGCTAATCTGAATAAATTGCTATGAAAACACATTAAATTTTGGATGTAAAAACTTAGGCTTTGTTCTTAATAGGAACCTAATTAGGTAGCTAATAAAACTGGCTTAGCATTCAGGTGTGCATAAACAAAACAACTGCTCTTACACTGTGCAGAGACACAGGTGATGCTAAATCCGCAGGCACTGCTGATCCCCTACACTTCACATTGCTGCGAATGATCCCCTAAAACATCTTGTGCAGGAGTGAACAGTTGTTACAGACTGAAAACTGGGGTCAGCCTGGTTGGAGAAACATCCCATTAGTTTATGAAGATGCTTTTAAATTCTCCATCAGAACAAACATCCTCAGAAACCATGGGAACTTGTTACTAATTACTATGCATTCACCTTCTGCCTCATGCCCTCACTGTGCCTCATTCTTCCTCCTGGTCTCATTAATTTGTATGGGCTTTCTATTCTTCCTCTTTTTTAATTCACAGATGAGTAAAGCAAACACATTTCATCCTATTTTCCATGTTTTAAATTAGTAGATAATTATTTGGAACACAGAAAATTTTAATGGGAATAAATCATTGGGAGTACACCTTCAACCTCACTGCTGGTTGGACGCGGAGAAATGGAGCTGCAGCAGCCTCATGGCTGTCCGGATACTGCATTCAACAGTTCTAACAGAAACTGATTGTATTTTTAGCTACATGTTTGTGAGATGATAAAAATAATCCTCAAGGTCTCATTTTTACAGCAAGAGACTGATAAAAGAGTGAGCTTTGCTCGTGAATTTCCCAGAGGCAACTTCCCTCGAGCTGACCAGAACTTTAAAGTGCCCAGGGTGAGAGGCATCTGTACCTCCTGCCTTATCTTCCTGCTTCAGTCTGAGAACTGGATGCTGAAGGCTCCCAAAAAGGGGATCTCTTGGAAAATGCTCTAGAAATTGGGAACAAAAAAAAAAAGTGGATTCATCAAGTAACTAATTCTTTCAAATAGCTTCTAAAATCCTGCCAGACTTGAAACAAGAAAACTGTCAAGCAGAAATAAGAAAAGTCAGTAGATCATGAGGGAAGGGATAGAGGAGAAACTTCTGCATCAGGAAGAGAGTCATACTTTTGCCAAAAGGATAGTGTAGCAGATTTGCACTGATAGGAAATGGTAATGGCTTCTCTCAGCACAGAAAACTCTTCTACAGGGGAGAACCAGCTGAGAGGAATTAGGTCTGATCAAAGACTGTGTGCGTTTTTTCAGCCATGAGAAAGATCTGATACAGTGGTGAACAGAGAGGGATCAACAGTTTTGGCAAGTATTGAAACAAACCCCTTTGCTTGATTTCTCAGAAAGCCCATTTCTCAACAACACAAACACAAATTACACTTGCAGCCCGCTCATTCTTCTCACCTCACAGCTGGGCTGTCCTCTGTGGCAGGGACTCTGGCAGTTGCCAGACTTTAACTGTTGAAGGGCGGGGAATAAAAAAATCTTAAACATGTTTCTCTTGTCACAAAGGAAAACGTTTTGCTCCTATATCTGTTTTCTTTATCCATGTGTCCTTACACAGGAGAGATTTCAGCATGTGCAGATAAGTTTTCTGGAGAATCACTCTGAAATTACTACAGAACTAGCAAAACACTGACACTCTTTAGTGCTTTATGGAAGGCCTGAGCCCAGGACGCTACATCAACCAAATTTTCCTTTTCCTGAAAGGTGGTGGGTGGGGAAGGAGCACTGAGGAGAGGCGAGGGGGGATCTCCTTGTGTAAAGATAGAGGCTGTTACAACAGGGGCACTTACAACCAGTGTGATCAATGTTGACAGTTTCTCCAAGCACTTTTATCATTTTCTTGGAGGCCTTTTCAATACCTTACTAAATTAAAAAAAAAATCAACTTGGTGTTGGTTTAATAGGCCTGCATTTATCTTCTTGAAGCAATTCACTTTCTCTGAGGGCGTAAAGGACTGTAAATGTAATCCAAAGAGTTCTCACACACTGAAATGCTGGGTCCCCCCCTTTTTTTTTTAGCTACCTTGAACACCAACTGAAAGAGAGCCACAGTGGAGAGATACTAAAATCACAAGCTGATTTATTTGAGTGTCCTTTTGTGCAGTATTTTGCCCAATCACCCTGGAACACAGAAGTTGGCAGATTCTT